CTCTTTGAAATGTCATAACAACCTTTATTACCGCACTAGTGTGTTAATATCTTAAATGAAATTAAGCTTATGGGAGACATTTTTTAATTAAAAACACACCAAACACTATTATTTGAAAACAACATTAAAAGCTTCGTTCTCAATATCAGATGGTGGATCATCGCTTAAACTCATTTTAAAATGTGCAATTTTCAGACACAACTTTGACAATAATCGACAGAAGCAATTTAGTGACAATCGTATCTATGCCTGTTGCTAAGGTGATACAAATTCTTATTACCTGCATTCTGTATTCAATTTTTAAACTAATTATTTTTACTCAAAATAATAATAGTTATAGCAAACATTCAATTTTCTTAGTTTCTTTAAGAAACTTTCTTGACCCATCACTGGTAATATTCATAAGAAAAAATTGAACCTACACCTCGCCAAAGTTTTTTGTTTTGAATGCGTTCCACCAACTTCAAATACCGACAGACAGCTGTTTCGACCTTTATTGGGTCTCATCAGTGTCGGGCAACTTGGTGTAGTCATAGAGAAAGGAAAAAAGGAGAGGAACACTTTACGTGTTACGATTAAGGCACATAGTTTCGAGCGCCCTCGGTGGCTACGGGAATGAACTAGGAGTTTGGAGGGAGATTTAAAACTAAACTAAAATAGATCTATTTATAATAGAAATAATAAAAATGCATATTAAGATAAATGGTTTTTATTCAAGAAACAAATGTATATAAATAATAGACAGTGTGTGCCTGGTTGCCAATTGGAAAAACTTTTTTAAGACAAAAATTGTTACGTTTTAAGAAAAAAATGAATACTTCATAAAAACTCGTGCTTGTTTAAAAAATGATATATCCATAAAAAAAATTAAATCAATATATACAGGGTGCTTCCAAATCACGGATTAATTCATTTATAGAATTTTTTTAGAGAAAGTCGATGAAAATTATAATAAAATAATAAAATATTGAATGCCTAATTTTATTTAAAGATGTTAATTTTTTAAATTTATATTTGGTCTTTAAAGTATCTATAGATACTTTATATTATAAAATTTTATAAATAAAGGTACTTTTTGAATTTTCTTAATTTTTAAACAACATGTATATTTGATTAATTTTTTAATGGGAATCTCATTTTTAAATAATCAGAAGATATTATGAAGAATGTTTTTCGTAAAACGCATAATAAAAATGTTCTCAAACCCCTCTGGGGAAACACTGTATATAACACTGTATTATAAAACAGAACAAAAATAAAAAATAACAAATAGGTACCTAACAAATAAAAACATTTTTAGCAGATATAATATGGTGAAAAAATTAATTAACTTTAATCTTAAATATAAACAAAACAAAAGAAACATTTTTGCATAAAAACATCTTATACAGGGTGTCCCATAATTAGCGTGCATACAAAAATAGGTCGAGAAATCCAAGTCCAAGTCCAAGGGAGCTACAGCCCCCAAAAGAGGAGCCCCTGAAGATGGTTTTTATTTAATATCTCCAAAACCATTTAAGATAAAAAAGTGAAATTTTGGGATATAATCAAACTTTATATAGCCAATAAATTGGAATGATAAAAAATTCAAAATTTTTATAGGGGTGGGGTCAGATAGAAATGGAAAGGGGGTAAAACTACCCTAACTTTTTTGTACGTATCTTGTGCTATGATTTGATATTAGATCATAAAATTTTAGAGTTTTACACACAAAAAAGGTCCTCTTGATGAACTTCGATAGCATGCACCGTTTTCGCTTAAAATCGATTTAAAATTACCTTACATAGCATCAAAATTCATAATTAAATCACAACTAGAGAAAAAGATTCAGCGTAGGCCATGGACAATTTTTAAACATGGCCATGGACAATAGGGTGGAGCGAAACGCGTAGTGATTTTTAAATTTTTTTATTTAAAATATGTAATAGCGTAATAAAGTTGCCTTTTATAAAGCCGATTAATATAGTGTTTTTGTTTTTTTAATTTAGTTACATCTTCAGGGCTCTACCGATAATTTTTATCTACGAAAATTATGTTATGTTTCTTATCTATATCTATATTATATAGCCTGAAAAAACTAAAACTAGGTGTTTGTTAAATAGTATTTTAACTAAAGAAAAACATTTTTTCTAAATAAAAACAAAAATATCATACAAAAAAAAATTAAAAAAAACATATTTTTGACGATTGCTATTAAATAATAAGAAACATTTTATTTTCCGACATTATATTCGGCCTTTGTGTCAAACTTTGGTAAAATGCCTCTAGAATGAAATATTTTATTCACATCAATATTAAATTTTAACCTACATTAGAAAAGATAATGTTATTACCTTTGGTAGAGCCCTGAAGCCATTAATTAAAATGGTTCAAATTTTAGGTAACAACAACTGAATATCAATGACAACTTTTGATAACTATTACTAACAAAAATTATAACTTTCATTTTTTCGCTCCACCCTAATGGACAATTTTTAAACACCCCTGTCACATATTACATAAAACTGTCACCTGTCTTAAATAATTTTTCCTAAAGATGGCAGCTGTGTTCCATGGCCTACTCTGAATTTTTCTCTCTTGTGAATTCATTATGATCTTTTATGCTATGTAAGGTAATTTTTAAATGGATTATAAGCGAAAACAATGGAGAATATCAAAGTTTAACAAGAGGACCTTTTTGTGTGTAAAATTCCGAAATTTCATAATTCACATCAAATCCCAGCACGAGACACGTACAAAAAGTTAGGGTGGTTTTAACCCCTATTCCCTATCAATCTGACCCACCCCCACATGGAAATTTTGAATTGTTATTATTACATCTTATTGGCCATAAAAATTTTGATTAATTTCCAAAATTTTACTTTTCTACCTTAACGGTTTTGGATATATTAAATAAAAACCATCTTCAGGGACTCCTCATTTGGGGGCTGTAGTTCCCTTACAAAGCATTTCTCGGCCTATGTTTATGGAAACTTTTTTTTCTTATTTTGCACGTAGTATTGCACGCCAATTATGGGACACCCTGTATATTACATATAAAGCATATAAATTTTAATATTATTACCTCGAATAAAGCTGTAAACCATATGTGGTTTATATTTTTATAATAATAACAATTTAAAGTTTAAACTGCCCATTATTATCTTTAGGGACATTGAGAATCTCCTACTAGGTATATCAGAACGATTAGATCCTAAAAAACAAAGTATTAAGGAGGTGCAGAGTGTTTATAAAATTATTACCTTTAATGTAGCTCTGGACAAAGCATAAACAAAAAAATAAACAAATAAACCATGTATGTAAACACAAACAATGTAACCTCACAAAACGAAGTTTTATAATACAAAAATTACTCAAACATACCCGGTAGAATGTTGTCTTTGTTGAATACATATAAAAACAAAGACGGCTGCAGAGCAGTATGACAGTTATTAAAAGTTTATATAGTTCAGCCGCTCACCACCATGCGCTATGCGCTACGGGAACGTTATGCATGCGCCGTCCTATTCAATTGGTGGTCTTTTTCTTTTCTTTTGTCTATGGGTGTAGTGGAACACAATCAAAACAAATTACTCCCTAAGCTTATATGCTCGGTTGTTAAGTCAACAGAGGCGAGATGTAAGAACATCAGGTGATCCACAGTTATAGCTCTAGATAAGATGTTGTACGTAACACTTAGGATACTATATTATTAACGCACTTATGTGATTACACGACTCGGCCTACAGCCTCGTCGTGCAAATTTTCACATGCGTGCATTAATAATATCCATATCCTACTTGTTACGTAAGTAACTATTATCAATGTCATTGGGAAAAATTTGGTGTTTTTTTACTATTAACTATTATAAAATCATTATCATTTTACAGAAACAAATGAGAAAATCTCAGTACAACTAAAATTATACTAAAAAATTAAAAGCCACCGAAAAATACGATGATTACAAAAGGAGAAAAACAGATTAAATGAGGAAATATCGAGAAAATAAAAAAAATATTGAGAAAAAAATGTCATTTGCAGATCTAAAAAAGGTTGTCAAAGATCGACGAAAGAGTTAAGAAATACATAGAGCGAAAGAGTCAAGAAATTAGCAAAAGCAGTTAGGTTTCGTTGGATATAATTGCATACAAACGCTTGGAAAAGCAGTAAAAAAAGCAAAACTTGCGATTCCTGCATCTCCGACAAAAAAGAGAGCAGTTCTTGCAAATATAGTTTCCAAAATGGATGATAAGGAAAAACAAGAATTTATTAATGTTATCAAATCAACCCCTGTAAAAAGAAAATGTATACCAAATTGTATCCTTATAAAAGCAATTTACACATTTCTCAAAAGAGATGATATCTCACGAGTTTCGCCCAAAATTCGAGACGTGAGAGAATATGTATGCCCAGAAACTGGACAAACCAAATTATTGTCGACAAGACATATGCTACTCACAATAAAGGAAGCCTTTGCACTATTTGACGAAGAACAAAAGAGTAAAGGAGAAAGTAATTATTTGATTAAAATTTTAAAATATCATACATGGATTTTTTTTCAGGTTCATGTGGTATTAATTATTTCTACCAGCATCGACCAGCGCATATTAAAATGATAAGAGATTTACCTCATAACGTGTGCATGTGCTCATACCATTCAAATTTTATTGAATCGGTCTCTTCTTTACACAAAGCAGTTGATAGTTTACCGAATTACGATAATGGTTTTGTAAAACTTTTCCTATGCAAATAATCTAAAATGGATTGTTGGTTTGGAAGGTGTGACAAGTGCCCTGGTATTTCTATTTTTAAACTGAATGAGCTATAGCTATACTATAGTGGGTGATATATCTCTCGATTTTAAAATATCATGGATGGTCTGGAAGAAAGTTTGAGTAAATAGAATCGAAAAGGTAAAGGAAAATGGAAGTTTGGCCAATCTTATTGACCATACATGTGCTTTGTCAGCAAAATTTTTAAAGCATAGTTTTATTAAACGGGAACAATCGGAAATGTTCAATATGCACGATAGGCCAAGAGCAAAATTTCCTGATGAGGGCCTCCTTCAAGTCGATTTCGCTGAAAATTTCATTTGCGAGGGGCAAGATGAGGTACAAAATGCGCATTGGAACCAGCTTCAGCTTTCTTTGTTCACAACTGGTTTTTACTACAACACATTTAAAGCAAAAGTTCTAGTATCAGATAATTTAACGCACACCAAGGACACAATTGTTACCTATTTATTTCAAGTGCTTTCAAAGCTGCCAGACTCTTTAAAAGTTTTAAAAATTTGGAGTGACGGACCGTCATCTCAATTTAAAAATAAGTTTATCGCTACCCTGATTCCACGATTAGAAGAAAGATTTGGTCTGAAGATAGTTTGGAACTATTTTGCAACGGCCCATGGAAAGGGATGTGTAGATGGAATCGGCGCAACTGCCAAAACTATTGTACGAAGACACATTAAAGCGCGTGATGTAATCGTCAATAGTGCATCCCATTAAAATGGGACCATCAGAAATTGAAGTTGAGGAAGTGACAGAGGAGAATTTTCAAAAAACAATTTTTTTACTAAACACAATTGAACTGTTTTCAAATGCCAAAACCATTCGCGATATTTTCAATGCTCACCAAATCCAAGTAATTAATGACAAACCTGTTATATTTTGTACTTCTAAACATGGATATAACACATAAAATTTATTGTTTCATAGTATTTGTGTTTAAATTTATTACATAAAGATTTATAGAGGTTGTCCAAAACTGATTTAGCCAGGTTCTAGTTCCTAAACCGTTTATGATATTTCAGTAAAATAAAATATAGGTATTGAGTGATTTAAAATAATTGTAATAAAATTAAACCAAAAATTTTGAATAAAATCCTGTATATTTTATTATAATATAAATAAATATTATTTTCTTGTAGGATTCGTAATCCATTAAATACTTTTTCCGATCGTAAATCGGTTAATAAATGTTTGAGAAAATTAATCTTAATTTTTTAAATCAAGTAACCCTTAAATAAATAAATTAATTAAAATATAAATTTTTTATTTAAAATTTTAGGATCAAGATATGGCTTCCTTTTAACCTTTATATTGAAATAATATAGTTGTTATGTTTCACTGAAATATCTCAAACGGTTTAGGAACTAGAGCCAGGTTAGTTTGGGACACCCTGTGTTTGTAAATAATTTTCCAAATTATTGTCATTATTTAAAAAGTACACAATAAATTGTTATGATGATTTTTTACACCAAATTTATTATTGAGTTCGTACGTGTAACGTTCCAGAAATTTTGTGTAACGTTCCATGACATTTTTACCGATAATCACATTTAATATTTTTTTCTTTATATATTTCTAATCGAAATATTTATTTTGATATGTCATTTATATTATATTCAAAAATAAATTAAATTGATTTTGGCCAATTCGCAGATTTTTCAAAAAATGCATAACAACCTCTATACACACTTACAAAATTGTGTAACATTCCAGTAAATGTAAAATGCTTATAAAATAAAAACTGTTAAAGATTTTTTTTTTTCCCTGTGGTACTCTAGCCCTGATCTCATAAACGCTCGATTTCTCCTGTGATACACTGACTTGGAATGAGCGTCCAGTCAGGAAGGAATATATAATTTTAATAATTTGTTGTGGCAAGTCAAATGAGATCAATTTAGCGATAAGTCCGTCCAACCAGACCGTATCAAATGCTTTTTCGATATCAAGCAGGGCCATAACAGTGTTTTTACCACTGTTATACGCCTGCTTGACATCATGAGCTATTCGCACCGCCTGGTGAACGGTGCTAAGTCCTGGTTGGAAGCCAAATTGTTCGATGGGTGTGATTCTCATTTGCTTGTCCACTTTGTTGATGATCGGGAGAATCGAGCGCTCTACGACCTTAGATAAGTTGCTAACAAGTGAAATTGGTCTGTAGCTAATTGGTAGGGACGGGTCTTTGCCTACCTTATGTATAGGTATGATCACTGCATGCTTCCATTGGGCAGGGAAGTACGACAGTCGTATACACGCATTTATTATGTACACTAGTTGCACAATAGCTTTTATAGGCAGGTTTTTCAGCAGAATGTTGTCAATACCAGGGGCCTTATTGCTCGACAGTTTGCTCAAAATGCATTTGACTTTAGCAGGACTAGTTAAATATCTATTATCAGTGACATTATTATTGTTAATGTTGTCTTTGAAGTTCTGTGCTACGTTACTGATGTCCTGTTGTTCATCAGTTAATTTGTTGGTGTCCGTGTAGGTTATGTTATGAAAGCACCTGGCAATAGCCTCCGCCTTCTCCTTGTTAGAGACGTGGAGAGTGTCCCCAGTGACTAGCGTTGGGAAGTAGCTGTTTCGAGGTTTTAACCTCCTAGCCAACTTCCAGAGACTATTGTCTGATGCCTTCAATCTACTTAAGGTGTTACCCCAAGTCTCATCGCGATACCTCTGCAGATCATGTTTGATCTCAGTTCGAAGCCGATTATAATCGGCTTTGTACTCGTCTCTGCGGTGTCTGTCATAGAGACGTTTGTACCTGTTTTTATCATTGATCTTTGCAATGATAGCTGCAGGGATATCATCGATGGGACTTTTGGTCTTGACGAGTTTGGTGGTTTTGTTGCGTGCGCCCAACAGAACATCAGTAAACGTAGCGACAGCGTTTTCAATCTCACCGGGTGTGTGGATTGCGAGAGCGCGTATTCGCACTGCGCTACTCGGCGATCTGATAAACCTTTCTTTAACTATCGACATGTCTATCTGCGCTGAATGTAATGCTCCTGCTGCAAGAAAACCAACGGTTAATTGTGACGGGTTCTGCAAACGTCTTTTTCATTCTTCCTGTGTTGGAGTTCCTTCTAAAGTCCAAAAATTATTACCAACTTGTCCTGGGTTATCTTGGAATTGCGATAAATGTTATAATGATGTAAACGACAGTTTTTACACTAACTTAAAATCAAAGATAGAAACTCTTTTTGAGGATTTAAATTCTCTGTTTAATAATGCTAAAATTGATTTTAAACAAATGGCAGAAGAAAAGCTTAAATCCTTGCAACCTACGTCATCACCTTTGGTTCAAACCTATTCAGAAAAATTAAGTAAAAAGTCATCAATAATTATCAAACCCAACGATGAATCTCAGCTTAACTCTGCTACAAAAATGGATATTATGAAAAAAATTAACCCTCTGGTAAACAACATTAAAATTAATTCAGTTAAAAATATTAAAAACGGTGGCCTAATAGTGGGTTGTAATGATGTTAATGAAGCGAATAAGTTTAAGGCTGATAAGGAACTGAAAAATTACAAAATTAAAGATGCAAATAAAATCCAACCTAGGGTCAGAATTGTCGGTCTTTCTGAAAAATTGAATGAGGAAGAGATTAAGCAGTATTTATTTTTACAAAATAAGGATTTAATTTGCGACCAAGCTTCAGTTAAGATTGTGGAAATAAAAGCTTTAAAAAATAAAGACACGATTTATCAAGCTTTACTGCAAACCGATATAACAACATATCAAAAAATGCTTTTGTTCTTATTGGGCTAGACAGCTGTAAAGTGTATGATGCCATAACAGTACTTCGTTGTTTTTCTTGTAATGGCTTTAACCACGACTCCAGTGTTTGTTCCAAAAAAGATAATCCTATATGTCCCCGATGTGCCGAAAATCATTCTGTTAAAGATTGTCAATCAGTAACGCTAAAATGCATAAACTGTCTTAATTTAAAAAATAAAACTGGAGTGGACATTTGTCATGCCGCATGGGATCATGACAAGTGCCAGGCTTTAAAAAATGTACTGGGGAAATTAAAACACGATGTCTTTGGGTTGCAATAGCAATCAAATTCTCTCCCAGCTCGTACACATGAAAATAAAAAAGAACCTAACAGATTGTTAAAAATATACTACCAAAATGTACGCGGCTGTCGATCTAAAGTAGAAACATTGCATGCATCTGCCTGTGAAAAAGAGTTTGACTTAATCTGTTTAACTAAAACTTGGCAGAAGACATAACTAGCTCAGAACTATTTCCGGATGACTATGGTGTTCTTAGGAGTGATCGCAACTTTGAAGCAGTTGGTGTATCTCGAGGTGGTGGAGTTTTGTTGGCCTACAATTCAAACTTTACTGTTGAGCGTATTAATTTAGATGTATTACAATCTCAACATCCTTGTATTGATATAGTTGGAGGTAGTATTACTTTTAATTTTAAGAAAACTTATGTTTTTGTCTTGTATATTCATCCTAGAATTTCATATATTGAGCTGGATTCATTTTTAAATCTTTTTCATGACACCATTATCCTCAAAGACAATTCAATTATACTAGGTGACTTTAACATTCCGCATTTTAATAACGTTATGGTTAATGATAATAGTCGGAGGATAATGGTGGATTTTTTAGAATTTTCAGATATGTCTCAATTTAATAATATCGTAAACGTTAATAATAGACTATTGGATCTTGTTATTGGCAATGTAAAATGTGAGGTAAGTAGAGAGTCTCACCCCTTATTAATCGAAGATATGTACCATCCAGCATTAGTTGTGATCGTTATGTTAATTAAAGAAAATGTGCCAAGTTTTCCAAAGGTTTCTGATAACCTAAAATATAACTTTAAAAAGGCTAATTTTCACGGACTTTATATGGCTCTGCTTAATGTTGACTGGACTTTTTTGCACAATTTTAAAGATATTAATTTGGCCTGCGATGAATTTTATAAAGTTATTTATGATATTTTTATTTGTTCCCAAATTTAATTTCAGAGTTAATTTATCGGTTAAATACCCAAATTGGTATACACCCGATATTATTAATAGCATTAAACAAAAAAATAAATACCATAAAGAATTTAAAAAGTTTCAAAATGAAAATGATCTTTTAATGTTTCAGAACCTTCGAAGATCTATAAAATCTAGTATTAGAGATGAGTACAAAAACTATATAAACGAAATCGAAACAAACATCTCAAATGACCCCAAAAACTTCTGGTCTTTTATTAATTCCAAAAAAGGTCATACAAGAATTCCAGGCAAATTATATGATGAAACTGGTCAATGTTTTGATTCTCCAGATACTATCGTCAATGGTTTTCA